GAGACAGCCCGGGCCATGAGGGCCACGGCAGCCAGGGCTCTAGTATAGCATAAAATATGTGTTAGTCGACTATGTTATTGGTAAGGCTTCCGGTATAGAAGGCTTATGTTAATAGTTAAATTTAGGGGGAGTCGTTACACATTGTCGACTGCGGGGGTAGGTGCCCCTGACCCTCATGTTGTTCAAGGGTCAACTGTAGCAAGTAATCCTAAATTTTCATAGGAGAGGGAAGTAACTAGCTGAGGTTATGTGAGAATAGATGGAATTTTAATGGGCTTTATAAGCTAGATAAGTTTAAGTTAGGGGACTGGTGTCAAAAGTATAGAGGCTGAGAGAGATGTTCAAGGAAGGGTAAGTGGCATCTACCAATAGAGAGGAAGTTTTGAGATGTGTTAGAAAAGTATGTTAAGACCAAAACATAGAGAGGAGGACCTTGAATGTCATTTAAAGCAAGGAGTTACAGATTCAAAGTAATATTTTTGAAATATTATTATGACCATCATGGATTATTATGTTGGAGTGCGGAGCCGGTAGAAGAAGGCAAACCTAGTTATTAGCCTGTTGTTGTTTCTCTTTATAGTTTTCAAAGCCTAAATTAGCATAGTCACTGGGATTAGCTTACCTCAGACATTATAAATAATTCAGCAAAAAACAGGCTAAAGAAAATAAAATTACTGGTTATTCCTGATATTTGTTTTATGAGTTTACCAATTATCTTGGTCTCTTCCTGAATTTGCAATTACCTTAGACAATTTTCTAAAATTTTCTTGTAGAACTGGGCAAAGATAACTTGTGACCAGAAAGTTATTTGTGATAATATGCATGAAAGGTAATGCTAGTAATTTGAAAATGCATTTGAATTACTAAGTGAAATGAATACATTTAAGGTATACTAGAAATATTTGTTAAATAGTATTACAGTACCAAGACACATGTTTAAATGCTTAAAATTGCTTAAATATTGAAAGTTATAATGGAGGTTTTTTGTTATTGTTTTTTAAGATTTGTTTACCCGAGGTATTGATATACAAGCTGTGAATGTGGTAATAAACTTTGACTTCCCAAAGCTGGCAGAGACCTATCTCCATCGCATTGGAAGATCAGGTGAGGAAAGACAGGAGATGCTTTTTGTGGACGTTTTTGTTGTTTTGTTTTTTGAGAAGTTTAATCACTAAATTGTGTGGGGTTTTGTGTGAAATAGTGTTGTAGCAATGAGAACAGAATTAAAACTAATATAGTTGTTCAGTGTTTAAGACTAATTTCTAGTTCTTCTAGAACACTTATTAAGAAAAGTTTAAAAAGTTTACTATATGCATAATTTAAGGTAAAATTAACAAAGGAGAAGTTCACTTTTCTTTTCTGGTACAATCTGTAACTACTGTTTAGTATGTGTATTTTGGCAACTTTTGACACAAATATCTTGTTTGTCCTTTGAAAAAGGTAAAATAGAGTACTACTTTTGGGAAGTAATGTGAATATGAGGAGAGTAGGAAAGTAGTTTCCTATACCCAGAGTGGCACTGGACAAAAACATTGACTCTTTATGATTTTGATGCTTACAGTCTTACACATGCATTCTAATATTTAACTCATTTCTTAATTAAAATTTTTTTTTTTTTGGTTAGGTCGCTTTGGTCATCTTGGCTTAGCTATCAACTTGATCACATATGATGATCGCTTCAACCTGAAAAGTATTGAGGAGCAGCTGGGAACAGAAATTAAACCTATCCCAAGCAACATTGACAAGAGCCTATATGTGGCGGAATACCACAGCGAGCCTGTAGAAGATGATAAACCATAACAAGCATGTGCGTACCTACAGAATAGCTAAGTGAGCATAATATTTAAAGGAAAGAAAGAAATCAAGATCCTCTTTCGTGGGGGCAATTTGATGTTCTAGCATACGTAACAGCAATGTAGGGTGGTGAAACACTTGGCATAAATGACAGTAAAACAGCTATCTCTTGGGTGAAGTTGTGGTCTGTCTCGTTAGAAAATCCATAAGTGTTGTTCTTGAATGCAGTCTTTTTAAGTAGTGTGATACCGTGAGCAGTATCAAGACAGATTCAGACTTCAAAAATAATGAAAGCAAAGAGAATATTTTTCAGCAATTTTGAGTGTGAAAATATTTTCTGTTCTCTTTTCCTTTATCATTCAGTCATCTCTGTTGGAATTCACTCTTCATTTCAAATGGGTGCCTCAGTAAGTCAGGTTACATTACCTACAATACCTTATTGCCAAATGTGTAATGAGGATAACTATGTCTTTTTAAAATTTTATATATTTTAAAATCTGTTTTATTGATTTTGGAAAGAGAGGAAGGGAGAGGAGGGGTAGAGAGAGAAACATCATCGATTGGCTGCCTCCTGCACGCACCCCTACTGGGAATCGAGCCCGCAACCTGGGCATGTGCCCTGACCAGGAATTTAACCATGACCTCTTGGTTCCTAGTTTGACATTCAACCACTGAGTCACACCCATGGGCAATTATCTCATTTTAAATGCCCACTCTGGTTTTCTGCACCCTCTCATTTAATCTTGTGGTGACTATTGGGCTCCGGTAGAAATGCCCAAAACAAGGCTCAACATAAAGGAAAGTAGCCTTGTGGAATTTTTCTGAGGAGAATATGATTTAACTTGAGAGATGATGAGTTCCAAATTAGCAGTGAACATTTTACCTGTTGTTTTTAAATTTTTCAAATTACTTTCATTTTTTAAAAATTTTAAATGTCAAACAATTCTTAAACATAAAACTAGCCAATGTTTGTTAGTATATTGGCAAGCTATTTATTACGTTTGTGTAAGGTAGTTCCTTTAAGTACTATGAATGACTGCTGGCTGAGGCCAAAATTATCAGACTCTCATTCTGCCTCTAGAATGCCTGGCAGACATTCCTTAATCCTGCATGGACTCTACAGTAGGCAAGAGTGGAGTAGACGCTGTTACAGAGAGAGTATTTGGGATGGGGATGTAAAAACCTGTATACCCTAGTTCATATTGCTTTCACAAATGTTAATTTTAGGTTTCTTTTTTCTTTAGGCTTTGACAAACTAAAGAAGGCTTGCTTGGATCTGTGACACATCATTTTGGGGGGGATGCTCTTCTCTTGTGGGTTTTTCATCTTTTATTTTGGAACTATGAAGATTTAAAAGAACTCAGACATTTTTTTCTTTTTTAACTGGTGAAGAGAAAAAAGCTGAAAAGAAGGAATTTACCTTTTTTGTTCCACTTGTTTGCACTGTGTGCTGACTGAACATTAGTTGCACTAACTGCTGGATTTTTAAAAATGTTTTCTGGGGAAAAGGGGGACAAGGAAGGAGGAGAAAGAAGAGAAGGGAGAAACCCTAAAAAGAGAAGAATCTTGATGAACACACAAGCTTGTCTATTATTTCCGAATTCTGCAACAGCTGACTCTTGTGCATTTCAACTTCTCCCTGATGACTCATCCGTTTTTTAAGCCTGAAGAGCTTATTACTTATTTGTGCGAAGTGCCTTATGCTATGAGACCATTCAGAATATCATCTTTTAGACACAGCCCAAGGAATCAACAATAGTAATTCTTTCCTTTTATTTCTTTTTAAAATTTTTTATTTCATTTTGGTTTCACGTTGAAGTCTCTCTCTTCCCTTTCTACCCAGTACTCAAGCCCAGGGCTGAAAGATGAAACCTATTAGTAATGTTAAACACCATTTTTTTTCTTTAAGTGGAGGAGTTGATATGCAACTGCAGTTCATCCGCACTGTAAATACATGTATTTAAGAAACAACCACACAATCCCAAGTAAAAATTTCTTCTGGGCTGAGTCGATGCAACATCATTGCTCCCAAAGGAAAGAGCGTCTCTGTCATTGCAGGAGCCATACGACAAGCCTTTGTGCTCTGTACGGAACACTAAAGACTGGTTCACGTGCGTCTCCATTCGCAGCTATGGCACTTGAGGTGTAGCCTGTCAGCCTTGACCCTCTTTCCTCTGGCAAAGCGTGTCCCATAGAAAACTGGGTGTGTACACTTGTATAAACTTTGTAAATATGTTTTTTTCTGCGT